AAAAGGGTGTGACCTCTTACCAGCATGCTTCAGCAATCGACCACCTGTATTGCGGCATGAAGATTTACCAACTAGTAACTCACAGTTCAGTCCTACAACTACTAATTTCTCTGATAATCTGCGAGATAATCAACGTATAAGAGCTAGTCAAAATGCATTGATAAATAGAGATGATACACAAACAGAGTGTACTCTGAATTTGTTCTCTTCTGAAAATGTTTCTAACATTGAGGGGACTGGAATAAGACATGCTGATAGTCGGATTGCAGCTCGAGAACCTATAGAGAGGAATGTTCGGTTTAGTAGAACACTAAGTGTTGGTAGACTTCGTGACAGAGTTCTTCGTCGATCATCAGTTCCCGATATGGATTTATATACTTTTCAGCAAGACAGAGGAGTAAGACATGCTAGTCAAGTTACTGAGAGACGGGATTCAGGTCATGAATCAGGATTGACAGTGTCTGAAGAAAATGTCTTTGCGGCATCAAACTCATCTAGTCATGCACTGTCCAGTATGTCTAGCTCTTCATATGGAAGTCAAAATGATGAATTTGAAGCTTCACGAGCAAGAGAGACTAGATATCATGATGTACTGGAGCATAGATCAAATTTCCTCGAGCGCAGAAGAAGAATAAGATCTCAGGTTTGTTTCTACTATAACTATTAATTTATACTTCATATGCAGTGCATACCCGTCAAAACATAGTGAATACCCTTGATGAGAATATGGAAAAAAGTTGCCTATTTGTTCTCTGTATCACACTAGCATATGCAATTAGTTACAGACTCACCGTCTTATGCCATACTTATCTGGGTCCGACTAATGATGTATCAAACAAAATTTATTTCTCCAATGCTTGGCATAATTCTACCCAAAACTACAATGAATATTCATAGGCTGTCTTATCCGGGTTCCTCACATTATAGAGTTCAACAATGCAAGAGATGTTTTCTCCTTACATGTATAAAAATTTCTCATTACGATTACTTTGGATTGCATTACGAGCTTGTGCTGAACCTCTGTGAGTTATTAGTAATTGTGATTGACTGTTTTAGGAAAACAAGCCCATCACAGGCTGGAGAGATTTGTTCTGGTTTGGCTTCTCATCTTATTTAACTGGAGACTGGTAATGACAGGCAGAAAATAACAATTGTGGATCTAACTCATATA